TTTATTACATAAAATTTTATATTTATATACTTTATTAAATAGTATCTTAAGTATAGAATTACAATCTTTATATAAAGGATTATCCAATATTAATACACATTCACATATTTTATATCTTTATCTACTTTCTCGTACAAATCAAGTTAGAATAGATGATTATTATACTATATATTATATACCTTCTTTAATCTTAAATACAACACAACAATTATTTAATAATGAATAATAAATTAACAAGATTTTTTCAAGGAATGACTTTAACTACTTTTACAATGGGTGTATTCAACACTATTAATGGAGTAAAGGCTAAAAAAAATATGAGTAATCATGAACAAACAATAAATAATTTAAATAATAATATACAAGAACATTCTGTAAGACAGGAATTATGACAACGTAAAATTGATGACCAATACGAAGTAATAATTAAGACTAATATAAATCAGAAACATATGGATATGATTAATAAAGCTAATGAGGAATTCAAAGGCGATTTGGATGTTTATAAAGAACTAGGTAATCGTTTTTATGACCCTGATGCTTTAGAAAAATTAACTTCTGAAGAATTAGTTAAACTTGTTAAAGAATTTAAGGAAAAAGGCGATATATTAGCTAATTCTGGACAAAAATTCGGTAATGAATTAAGTAAGATATTAGAAGAAATAAATAAAGGTAGTGGTAACACTTCAAAATATTTATCTGATATATCAGAATTTTTATCTTCTTTAACATTTGATCAATGTGTTGCTATAGTAAATGTTACAGGTTGTATTGTTATAATAATTTCTTTAATATCATTATTTATTATATTTTATGGAAATATATTAATTGATAGACTTCAATTAGAAATAAAATATCCTAAAATAAGTAGATTTATTCAGTTGAGACGTAAATTTCAATTATATTATTCATTAATAGATTTTTTCTTAATTTTTATTGTTTCATCTACAATTATATTTATAAATATATTAATTTATGTTCAATAATATGTTTAAATACAGCCTTTAATTTCTTAATAACTTTTTTTTACCCTGAATACTTAACCAAACAACTTTTATCAATTATCGGATTAAAATAAATTTTAATTAAATTTTAATTAAAACATTAATGCGTTCATATAAACCCTCATATCTTAATTTTCATATCTCAATTTTAATTCCTATTCTTTCTTATTAGTGATAAACATAACTATAAAATACTTCTTTAGTTGTAATTCCACTCATTTATTAAACCTTAATATTCTATGACTAAAAAGAATGTTAAAATTACCCTTATTTGAGTTAACTTAAATCGTAATTTATTACTAATATTTTTTCTCCATTAAAAAAAATCTATACGCTTACCTAAACTATAAAAATGGTCAATACCTTTACCTATCTGTATCTCATTAGAAACTTCCTACGGGTCCTACTGACGGAGGAGTAGCATAGGTCAGGCTAGGCTAGAGTTTTGTCCAGTTAAGCAATTTGCAATCACATCTTTGCAGCAGCAAAGCATTAATAAGTTTAAATTTATAAAAGAAGGATAAAAAAATAAAAAAATAAAGTAATTTTTTTCCCTCTCCCTTCCTTTGGAAGGAGACACTAACAGACTATTTTCAGCTTTATAAAATTATCTCCCCACTCAACACTCTAGCGTAGCAGCGTATCTGCATATGAGCTAGCAAGCAAAACAATTAAATATATTTAATTAAGATTAAGTTTTATATAATTAATTTAGAATATAATTAATACATTCTTTATCTATAATAACAAGATAACCTTGCATAATATAGGATGCGGAATAAAAAATAAATATTGTTATCTAACAATTATACTAATTCTATACTAATATAATGATAAATTTACTTTTACTTATACCTATCTTTGGATCAATTATATTATTACCTATGAGAGAGGAATCTAATCAATTAAAAATGAAACAAATAGCATTAACAACTTCTTTAATAAATTTTTTTATTTCTTTATTTATGTGATATCAATTTGATTCTAATATAACTCAATTTCAGTTTGTAACAGAATTTAATCATTTAAATTTGTATCATTTAAATTTTGGTGTTGATAGTATTTCATTATATTTTGTTTTATTGACAACTTTTGTTACACCAGTAGCTTTATTATCTAATTACACAAATATAACTAATAATTTAAAAATTTTTTTAATTTCGTTTTTAATTTTAGAAAGTTTACAAATATGTGCTTTTGTTTCTTTAGATTTATTACTTTTTTATATTTTTTTTGAAAGTGTTTTACCTGTATTATTTATTGTTATAGTAATATTTGGGCACGGACAAGATAAATATAGATCCGCATTATTATTCTTTTTATATACTTTAGCTGGAAGTTTACCTATGTTACTAAGTATATTAACAATTTATAGTTATATAGGATCTACTGATTTTCAATTATTATCTTTATATGAAATTAATTCTGATTTTCAAAAAGTTTTATGGATAGGATTTTTTGTAGGTTTTGCCGTTAAAACTCCACTATATCCTTTCATAATTTGATTACCAAAAGCTCATGCTGATTCAGTATTAGCAGGATCTATTCTACTAGCAGCCACAATACTAAAACTAGCAACTTATGGTTATCTAAGAGTGTTAATAAACTTTTTACCAGATGCAACTCATTACTTTTCACCTTTAGTTCAAACTATTTGTATAATAAGTATTATTTACTCTTCATTTTCAACTATAGTACAACAAGATACTAAAAGATTAATTGCTTATTCAAGTATAGCACATATGGGAGTAGTAGTATTAGGACTATTTTCAAATACAATCCAAGGAATAGAAGGAGCCATTTTATTATCAATAGCACATGGTTTTGTATCACCAGCATTATTTATTTGTGTTGGAGGTATAATTTATGATAGAACTCATACTAGAATAATTAACTATATTAAAGGATTAGTAACTTACATGCCTGTATTTACAATATTATTTTTTGTATTTACTTTAGCTAACACTGGAATACCTTTAACTCTAAATTTCTTAGGAGAACAATTGTCATTGTTAGGTATATTTGAAAAAAATCCTATAACTGCAATTTTAGGTGCTACAAGTATTGTTTTATCTGCTTGTTATTCATTATTCTTATATAACAGATTGTCTTATGGTAGTTATTCTACTCATTTAAATATATTAAAAGATATTAACAGAAGAGAATTCTTTTTATTAATATCTTTATTAATACCTACTGTATTATTAGGAATTTTACCAAATGCAATTTTAAATACATTGCACATCTCAGTAAGTTCTCTTTTATACAGTGTTTAGTAAATTATATAATATATTTAATTAAACATATATTGTAATATTATTAAATAAACATAGATTAATGGATCTAAACTACCAATTGTTCAATTTGTAAGCATTATTAAAAACCAAATTTAAAAATAATGTTAAAATAAACCCTCAAAATTTAATTTTAAATAAAAATTTTATATTATAATTAATATTAAATTATTTGTGAATAAAGCATGTAAAAGATAATTCTTTACTAAGATTAAATTTTACTATAACAAAATTTTTTCTCCTTTAGCAAAAGCGCTGCTAATTCAGCTGCTTCTTCTCCGTTCGGATGCAAGACCGGCTATAACTTCTTAATTGAGTTTAGACCTTATTGGAGTTAGGAACCAATTTTAGGAAAAAATGCAAAGCATAAAAATCAGCTCAGTTATTTAAGTTAATTTAACTTGCATACGTTCTACTTTATTACTGAGTAGTTATTTAGCGTTCTTATCTGTAAATCATAAAAGATTTTTTAATTTTTTTTTTAATTTCTACTCCCTTACAAAATTAGGGAACGGAAATAAAGTAATTTATAAGTTTTCTATAATATTAATATAGTTATATACTATATGTTTTCTTTCCGAACAGAGAACAAATTTATATTAAAAAAATATAAATTATAGAATAAAAATATAATAATTTAAAAGAAAGTAGCAAAAATTAGTAGTATTCTAAACTACGTATACCTTTTATTGCACCCTATTAAAGATTTCCCATTCTCTATTCATCCGTTCTACAAAGCATAAAATTTTTTTATTAAATACTTCTCTCTTTAGCGGCCTCCCTCCCATAGGGGGGGGAGAGATGCTTTAGCTTTTTTTTTTTGAGAGAATGTAAAGGGAGAAAACATAGATTATAAATTTCACATCTTTAGCTAAATGGTAATAGCAGTTGCCTTCGAAGCAAAAGATTATAGGTTCGAGTCCTATAAGATGTTTTTTAATATTATTACTCTTCCTGCTTTACTGCTTTGCTGCACAAGCAATTAGGGAGGGAAAAAAACCTGTTTTCTTCGATTTGCAGAAGAAGGCTCCTAATGCTTCTTCTCCGTTCGGAAGATAGGAAGAAACTAGCATACATAAACTTATGTAGATTAACAGGGTTAAATTTCAAGTAATTACTTTAAAATAAATAAAAATATAAAAGAGAAGTGTAGTATTAAAAATAAATTAATAAAATTTACATAATATTATAATAGGGGAAATATGATAATTGGTAATCAGTTATATTTGCAATATAAAAAATGATAGTTCGAGTCTATCTTTCTCCAATTAAAATTACTTAGCCTAAAAAAATTTTAATCCTCCTTGCAAAGCAGGAAAAGTTGACCTTGTTTTAATTAGAAAATTCAAGCAGCGTTCGCAAAAGCGGTGATTATTTATTCTAATTATAATAAATTGATATTCTTTCAGGTAGTCAGTAATCAGTAATATGATAATTCATCATAGATCTTAAGTTAAGGATTAATAGTTCTAAATTATTTAGTATTTTTCTAGCTACTTTATTACTTAGATAAATTTACTAAATTACTAAATAAAGTAAATTTTCATGCCTGCGTAGCAGCGTAGCGCAAGAAGAAAGTGTACTTATTAGTATCTGTTATTAATGTGCTAACATCGCACTCAGCCTATTATCTTTTCTTTTTAGAATAAGGAGCCTTGCTTTGCTTTGCAAAGAGGGTTTTAATCTAGTTAAAAAAAATTTAGCCTCGGTTGCTTAGTGGTCAAAGCGTTATATTGAAGCTATAAATATGGGAGTTCAATTCTCTCCCGGGGCAAAGCATACACTAAAAATTCTAAATCTTTTTTTTTTTAATAAATTCTATTACAATTTTAATATTATTTAATAAAAATGATGTTTATTTTGGTGGGGTATTTACCTTTTATTTATAAATGTAAGATAATTAAATAAATAAGCCTGCTACTCTCTCCCAAACGTTGCATTCTTTGCTTAAAAGCATTAACGCAAACATCCATCCCTTCTATCTTCTTTGGTAAAAAAATTATAATTAATAAAAGTATGGAATTATTTCTGTTTTTTCTTCCTCCTTCGGAAGAAAAGGATTTTAGTAATAGTCGAAATAGTTTAAATGGTTAAAACAAATTCCTTGTAAGATTTAAATAATGGTTCGATTCCATTTTTCGGCTTAATATTTGTTTGTATGAAGTACGAAGTAGCAAAATAAGAAGCCTCCGTTATTGTTCTACAAAGAAAAGACGAAGAATAAGAGTGTACTAAAAAAATTAAAAAAAAAATTCAACTATTTAATAGGAGTGGTAGCTTAACTAATCATCTATATTATTATAGTTCTCCTGCGTTTGCACTCTTCCGCCCATAGGGCCCATAGGGAGGGAGGGAGGAATAAACAATAAAAATTAAAAAGGAGGCAGCTCCGTTCTTCCTACAGAGAGCGAACCTCTTTTTTTTGTTCATTTACTTTTAAAATAAGAGGCTGCTTTTCGCAAGCTCTCCGCTCGAACAAAAGATTTTTAAATGGCTTCTAAAAGTAGGATTGTTGAACAGGTTTTGCTACAATATTAATTGTGTAATTATTCTAATACTAATATAGGTTTACTTAACTACGTATCTTTTCCTATTGTTCTTTTTAAAAATCTAGTAAAATATCCACACTTTGCAGCTCACTAATAGTAAGGCCCCTAATTAAAAGGCTGCGTTCACATGCACATGCAAAAGAATAGCAACATTCCTCTTCCCCGTTCTGAGAGACCAATAGGCATCTACTCCAGCGTTTGCAGCATGCAAATATAATTAAGGATGGAAGCGTTCTTTTAAGGAGCATTAAAAATTAGCTTGCAAACGCGAATGCGGAAAGCAAGATAGTGTTTTTAATTATAATGTAAAAATTATTCATATTATATAGGTGTATGAGTTGTAGTTTAATTTGGAAAAACACCATTTTTTGGTAGTGGCTAATATCAGTTCGAATCTGGTCAACTCAGTCTTTTTATATTAAAAAAAAAATAAATAATAAAAATTTTTGCAACATACTAAGCACAGCTTTTTAATAAGCAAAAGGACAGAATCCTAATTCTACGTTTATAGTTTATATCTAGATGTGTTGCTCCTTTTTCTTCCTTCGAAAAGAAGGATGCCGAGAAGCGAGGGGACATTTTAACGTTATCACGTACAAATTGCTGTTTAAAAAATAAATATAATATTTAATAAATTTAATAGGAAAACAGAACTCGAATAGGTTGAGTGTCCCACTTTTAATGGGAAAGTCTTGGTTCAAGTCCATGTGTTTTCAAGTCATTAAATTTAAGAGTTTAGAAGTTGGTCATAGTAGTGTTCTTATCTAAACAAGCTTCTCAATTAGTAGATAAGTATGAAGAAGCAGCAAAAGGAGATTAAGCTCAGTTAGGAAGGGTGCTTTTTTCTCTTTGCTCAATTACAATAGTTTTGTGCTTGCAAAACATACTACTAGAGCAACATTCCTCTTCCCCGTTCTGAGAGACCAATAGGCATCTACTCCAGCGTTTGCAGCATGCAAATATAATTAAGGATGGAAGCGTTCTTTTAAGGAGCATTAGTATAGTAACTTTCTAGATAGTGTTTTGTATGAGTTAAGTAAAAATTTCTTCTAATTAAGCTCCAAACTACTTATATTTTTAAGTGATTCTGCTGCTCATAGCTTTGCTCCTAATTGTTGCTTTATTAGCGTAGCAAGTACCGTTTTAATATTATAATTAATACTTAAGGAGTTAGAAATAATATTTTGTTATCCAAATGGAGCTGCTATGATGTTAACTATTATTAAGTAGAAAAAGTAAAATTAAAAAAAGAAGGGTAGGTGATCCGATTGGTAATGGTGATTCTCTGTAAAAGAATTGGTTTATAACCGTACTAGGTTCGATTCCTAGACTACTCAATATTTTATTAATATAAAAAAATATAAATAATATATTTACGTTACAACAAATTAAAAGAATTAGCTCTATAGTTCTTTTTATAATTAATATTAAGACTCAATTAGTATTTATAAAATAATAGGAAAATTTTATCAAATATTATAATAAGTAGCACTATTACTATTATAAACCTTATAACTAATTTTAATTTTTTTAGTTATCGGTTTTTTTTTTTAATTACAAATTAAATAAAAGAATTAACTTTATTCTTATACTAACGTTTTTATATTCGCATAGTGAAAGGTATCTCTTATAATTCTTTAGTCCTACAGACTCCTTCTTGCGGAGCATAGACTAGAATTGCGAAGTATAACTACGGAATATATAGTACATTAAAGGAGCCTTTTTTTTTGCTTATTCCTTCCCCTCTGCGTAGCGTAGGAAGAAGAAGAAATTAGGCATGTAAATCTACGGCAGTTCAACCATGAGCAGCATAATTTACCTTTCTTTTTAATTATCTTTATCATCAATATAGCTCAGTATTAGAATAAAGATTAAATCAACTTTTTTTTATTGTTTTTAAAAATACAATGCTTAGGCATTATCCATCTTCTTTTGAAGTATGGTATCCTTTTATATAAATAAGATTAAAAATTTTATGTATCAGGTTATATTATTCTAGGTTAAACCTTCTATCTTATCTACTTTACAACATTTTTATGTAAATACCCCTTTCCTATGCAACTTCGCGCTTCGCACATGTAGTGTATATTTTTCCTTCCTCCTTCGGAAGGAGGAACATCTATTTCTATAGAATGCAGGAGCAAAAGATAAGAAGCCGTAGGAGGTGGAAGAAAAAAAAATTTTTTTTATATTATAGTGCAATTATTTTGCGCTTCTTTTTTATTGCTTTTAAAAGAAGTTACTGGTTGGTACTCGTTCCGTGCCCAAACGGAGCAGAAAAGTAATAGTCACTAAAATTTTCTATAATTAATACAACGGAAAGCATACAAAAAAATAGCATTTGGTCCTTCAGGTCCTTCAGGTCCTTCAGGTCCTTCGGTGCGTAGTAGGAGCAAGAAGAACCCTAGTAGCTTGCTTCCTCTAAAATTTGTAGTGATTCTATTTCCTTTGTTAATTTTTTTTTTCTTTTTAATTATCAAACTTATTGATAGTTAACATAAAATATTTAAGATAGTCTTTAAGCTTTGATTTTTTAACTTTAAATTTTTAAAATTTTATATAATTATCGACTACTACTATCCTGCGCATCCTTTTTTTCTTTTTATCTCGCTCTAGCTTCTTGCTAGCAGCATAAGCGTAATCACAAAGTAAGGCGAAGGAAAAAAAAGCATAATCTATTAATTAAATTTTAAATACTCTCGCTTGCTCTAACGCATCAAATGTTTCTCGCATCCTTCTGAAAGAACGAAGAAGAAGCAGGTGGTCGTAATAATTATAAAAATTAAAAAAAAATAAAAGGTTAAAACAGTAAGCTAAAATTTTCATTTCTCTATATACAATGACAACTTTATTAATAAATATCTTAGCTTTTGCTACATTACTATCAAGTATTTTTTCTATCACTTCTAAAAATCCTGTTATATCAGTACTTTTTCTAATAGGTACTTTTGTATTATCTGCAGGTTATCTTATTTTAATTGGAATAAATTTTATAGGAATTTCTTATATAATTGTTTATGTTGGGGCTATAGCTGTTCTATTTTTGTTTGTAATTATGATGATTAATATTAAACTTACAGATATTTTAGAAACAGGTAGTCAATATACTAAAACTTTACCTTTAGCATTAGCTGTAGGTTCATTATTTATATTTATAATTTTTTCAATAATTAAATTTAATTATAATAATGTGCCAGTTTTATCAGCTTTATTAGATAAAATTACTTTTTCAAATGGATTATTCTCAAATTATTATATACTAAAAATTAATTTAATTAATTCAATTGTAGATAATACTTATTATTCTTCATCTTCGGATTTATTAATTACAATCTTTCAACAAATAGAAGTTTTAGGTCATAATTTATATACTTATGGAGCTATATTATTAATAACTTTAAGTATTATTTTATTATTATCAATGTTTGCTACAATAATTATTTCAAAATCTAATAAAGACTAATTGAGACTAATATAAACTAATTGTTTAAATAAATAAATTTAATATTAAAACTTAAAAATCAAATTTCTTAGATGAAATAACCTTTCCTTTTTTACTACAATTCTAAGTTCTTAGATCTACTCTGCAGCATCCTTCTTGCGGAGCATGCAGCACTATTTAAATGGAGAATTAGTAATAGTACTTAGTTTAATAGTATTTAAGGCCGCTTAGCAGCATTCACTTCGAAGAAGTAGCAGCGTTGTCTAAGCATTCACACTTTTTTCTTGCTCCTTACTCCGCAGTAGGAGGTATTACCTTCAACTTCTTGCAAAGCAGCAAAGCAGCAAAGCAGCAAAGCAGCAAAGCAGCAAAGCAGCAAAGCAAAAATAAGAGTAGCGTAAGATCTAAAGTGTTGAAGAAACAAAAATTATATTATAGACACACCAATATTTTTTATTTATTAAAATGTCTCAATTATTTATTTTATCTCCATTAAGTCAATTTGAAGTAAACAGTTTGATAGGATTTAATGCTCCTATTTTAGGTTTTTTTAATTTAAGCTTAACAAATTTAGGTTTATATACATTACTAACATTATTTGTAATTTTAGGATTACATTTATATGGTAACAATGATTCTAAATTAATACCTTCTAAATGGTCTATAGCTTTTGAATCATCATATCAAAGTTTAGGAACAATGGTTAAAGATCAAATAGGTTCATTAAATGAAGTATATTTACCTTTTGTTTATTCAATATTTTTTTATGTATTAATTGGAAATTTAATTTCTAATATACCTTATTCATTTGCAGTTAATGCTAGTGTAATAGTTACTTTAGGTTTTTCTGTAACTATATTTATGGGAGTTACAATTTTATCTTTATCAATTCATAAATTAAAATTCTTCTCTTATTTTATACCTTCAGGAACACCATTAGCACTAGTTCCTTTAATAGTTTTAATAGAATTAGTTAGTTATTTTGCTAGAGCAATCTCTTTAGGAGTTCGATTATTTGCTAACCTTACAGCTGGACACACTCTATTAAAAATATTATCAACATTCTTATATAAATTATTTTCAAGTAGTGTAATAGTTGCAATTTTAACTTTAATACCATTTACTATTTTCTTAGGATTAATTGGATTAGAAATAGCAGTTTCTTTCATCCAAAGTTTCGTTCTAACATTATTAGTATGTTCATACCTTAAAGACGCAATAGATTTACACTAATTATTTAAATATTTTACATATAGACCCGTAGCAAAGCTGCTAAGCAGCATACGCACCCTCATCTATCGAGCACTCACCTTTTTTTTAACACAGGTTAGATACCTAGGTTTACACCGTCCTATGAAAGCACTACAACGTAGGGGGGGGGGGGAATAACGCAGAATAATACTATAAAAAAATTATTTATTAGCATATTATACGCTCACTTGCTTCGCAGTGCGTGTTTTAATTAGAGCTTACTAAATACAGTATATTACTAAATACATATGCAAGCAAGTATGGCTTCCTAGTTATACCAATACGAATTGGTTTAGAGTTAACTTAAAATTAAATGTTTAGATCTACTCTGCAGCATCCTTCTTGCGGAGCATGCAGCACTCACAATAGCTTAATTTCTTAAGGAATGGCCGCGGTCCTTTTCTTTAAGAACTGCACAGCAAACATCTTTCTTTCTTTTATCTGTGTATATTTTATGTATAGCAGCAAAAGGATATACTTAATAATATAGACAACTTCTTAATTGATAACAGTTAATGTTGTATAGAGCTTTTTCAATTCTAAAATTTTGGCTTAGCTTTATAAAAGTAGCATAGTTAGCGAAGCGAAGAGTTGTAGAAGAAGTAGAATAATAATACGTTTATCCCCGCAAAAGTAAAGCAAAAATAAGATGAAGAAGGATCTTTGTTTGGCCAGCAACATTTTCTCAGTTATTATAAGTTTTATTATTAAGCTGTAAAAATAATAATGAAAGATTATTAAAATTTAAATTTTTTTCTCTTCTCCGCTCAAATGCACTTATTAGCCAGTATGCAGGATTTAGAAAAGCCAATCCGTTCACTAATATATTTTGGCTCATGCTCCTCCATGCTTCTTCTCCGTTCGGATGATAGGAAGAAGCGCAAAAAGGAGTATTGTAAAATATTACCAAGATGTGCTGGTTTATTACTAATTTTTATTATAAGATTTGGATAATAATAAATTTAGTAGTTTTTAAAAGAATATGATAAATAATAAAAATAGGGGAAAGACTTTAGCATAATTGGTTAATGCAGTTCGCTCATAATGGATATTATAAGGGTTCAATTCCCTTAGGTCTTAATTTATAAATATATTTTTACGCTGCTCCTGCTTCGCAATAGAGAAATGTACATAACTTCACTTTCTAAAAATATGCTCCATTATAGCATGCATCGCAGAAGCTAAATAGTATCCACACATCCTTTGCAAAAAAGCTTATATTCTAAGCTTGTAGCAATTCATCCGAACGGAGAAGAAGCTGGAGCAAAAGTAAAAATATAAAAGAGGCTAGTCTTAGCTATACACCTTTCTGCATAAGCACAAAACTATTATCAATAGTACTATTAGCGTAACTATATTTACTAAGTTTTTATATGTTATAATATAATATAAGGCTAATAAACTATTTTAATAATTTAATTTTTTTTTAATTAGCTTATAAATCTTTTTTTTTTTTCCTATGATAGCATTTTCCGTAGCCTGTAGGAGCTGTATCTTGATCTTTGTTTTTAATAAGGGTATAAATAGAGTTATATAAAATTATTAAAATTTGTTATTTTTATAATAATTTAGTAATTAAATAGTATAAAGGGCATTTGGTCGAGTCTGGTTTATGGCGCTCGTCTTGAAAACGAGTACTTCTACTGAAGTCGTCGGTTCAAATCCGACAATGCCCGTAATAATAAAGTAATATTAATAAAATAATTAAATTAAAATATTCACTTAAATAGCTTTCCGTTAGGAATCATAATAACTTTAGGTAAAGTTTTAATAAGAAGTTCTTTAGTATGCGAACGCAATTTTATTTTGATCTTATTTTATTATTGTTTTTTTTAAAGTATTAAGGTTATACTCCCCTGCTTCACTAGGGAGAGGAGAGTAAGAAGTATACTTCTATTCCTAACAGAGACTAGAAAAAGAAGCGTAGTAATAAATAAGTATCATAAAGCATCTTATATTCTATGTGTGGTACGCTGCACTTAAAACAAAATTAAACCTTGTAGATTAGCACAAGTTAAATTTTACTAGTGTGTCTTTAAATAAAAAAATAAATTTTTAAACAATTTAACTGTATACTATTATCATAGCATAAAATTTATTTCTAAATAATTAAATTGGATTTTATGCTTTGCAAGAATGGAGCCTTCCATTATGTTATTAGTTTAAAATTCACCTAAGACTTATCCTATATATTAATTAGCGCTTTTGTTTTAATGCAGGATAAATTTATCATCCAGCTGCTCCGTTCTGACTATTTTTTAGGATTACTTTTAGGACCTCTCGCACCGTTAGGATATCACTCAAAAAAAAAAATGTAGGTTTTTAAATGCTTTTTTTATCAATCATTATTTTAATTATTTGTAAAGCTTTAATAAATGATAAATTATCTGAGGATTTTTATCATAGAATATCAGCTATAATTTTACTATTTTCTGGTCTATTAAGTTATAATAGTATTTATAATTTAGATAGTTTTTCAGGAATAGGGATATATAGTGGATTATTCAATATTACTACACATTCTCAAATTTTAGAAAGTTTTTTATTAATAATAGGGTCTATTATTTTAGTTTCATGACCTAATCAAGAAGAAAGAATAATAGAAGTTAAAAATTCAAATTTACCTAATTCATATAATACTTCATTACATAAAAATTCATATTTATATACTTTATTAAATAGTATCTTATTAGAAAATAATAATATAAATAAAAGTATAGATTCATCTGCTGTCTACGCCACTGCGGATCAAAAAAATTATTCTATACTTAATAATAATAAATTTGTAAGTCATTCTATAAACTATTCTATTATAGTTTTATTTAGTTCTTTAGGAGCTTCATTATTAATGTCTAGTTCTGATTTAATATCAATGTATTTAAGTATAGAATTACAATCATTTTCTTTATATGTTTTATCTACACTATATAGAGATTCTGAGTTATCTACATCTGCTGGATTAAAATATTTTTTATTAGGTGCTTTAGCATCTTGTTTAATTTTATTTGGAGCAGGTTTACTTTATGCTTATACAGGATTAACAAATTTTGAATCTATTTACAGTTTACTATCTATATATTATATAGAAATAAATAATAATTTTATAGATTTTATCTATCCTTTCTTTTCTAAAGAATTAAGTGGATCAATATTTTTAGGTTTAATCTTTATTTTTGTAGGATTTTTAATAAAAATTTCAGCTGCTCCTTTTCATAATTGATCACCTGATGTATACGATGAAACACCTACTATAGTAACTATTTGATTAACTCTTATACCAAAAATATCAATTTTAATATTATTATTAGACTTATATTTACATATAGATTTAATAGACCAATTAACATTATTTGGTCAATTAAATGGATTTAAATTTAATATTGATCAATTAATAAAATACTTATTACTTATTACTTCATTATTATCAATAATAATTGGTAGTGTAGTAGGTTTAGCACAAAATAGAATAAAAAGACTATTAGCTTATAGTACAATATCTCATATAGGATTTATTTTATTAGCTTTAGCTATTCATTCAAAACAATCTATAGATTCATTTATATTTTATATAATTCAATATATTATTACTAATTTAAATATTTTTTTAATAATTATTGCATTTAGTTATCTAATTAATAATAATCTTAAAGATATAAGATATATATCTGAATTTAAAGGTCAATTCTTCTCAAATCCTTTAATTAGTTTAAGTTTCAGTATTTGTTTATTCTCTATGGCTGGTATACCTCCATTAATAGGATTTTTCTCAAAACAATATGTTTTATATTCAGCAATACAAAGTGGATATAATTTTATAGCTTTTATAGCTATAGTTGCTAGTGTAATTAGTGCATCATATTATTTAAAAATAATAAAAACATTCTTCTTCTTTTCTGAAAGTAATTCAAATGAAGATTCTAAAGAAGTAGATGCAAATTTAGAATTTAATTTATCAGAAGTTAATATTACTAATGAAAAATTAAGTAATTTACATAGTTTTTTAATATCTACTTTAACATTATCTATATTATTTTTTATTTTTAAACCTTCTTTAATCTTAAATACAACACAATTATTATCTATATCTTTATTTAATCAATAATGAATAATTTACTTTTTTTATTTATTTTAGTTCCTATATTAGCTATTGTTTTACTACTTTTAAATTTTTTATTAGCTTCTCATAAACCTGATGAAGCTAAAGTTTCTCAATATGAATGTGGTTTTAATGCTATAGAAGGACAAACTAGATCAACATTTCAAATTCATTTTTATATTGTAGGGTTATTATTCCTAGTATTTGATTTGGAAATACTTTTAATTTTCCCTGCAGCAGTTTGTTTATATCAAGTTAGTGTATTTGGTTTCTCAGTAGCCATGATTTTTTTTATTGTTTTAACTATAGGATTTGTATTAGAAATAGGTTCAGGAGCAATCTCATTATCTAATACAGATAATATAAATAATAATTAATATTTTCATACGTACCCTCAATTATAAACAATGAAAAAAATTAATTTTTTATTTAGACTGTTTTATAAAATTATAATTAATTTTTGTTTTTTAACGTATATAATAAATTATAACTATGCTCATATTACATTTTTGCTTGGTAGTTTATTCGGTATCTTTTTATATTTTATATATTATTATATAAAAAGACTTGATTTTTTATACATTACTTTGAAATCTATTAACAAATTTTTATTTTTTTTGTTCTTAGTTATATTGTTATATTACTATATAGAATTTTATGTTTATACTATTAGTGATTTATTTTCAAATACTATTTATATTGATGATAACAAAACTTTAAAACTTTCTGATATAAGGATAGATATGGATAAAGCTTGGGATGGAATAACTTTTTTAGGAGGTGCCAGTGTCTTTAGCGCCGGAATTAAGGCATCTGCCTCTGTTTTTAAATCATCAGCTGTTTCTTTACCTCCTACTTTTAAAATGGCTTTTATTCTAGCTGGTGGTGGTGCTAGTTATTTCACCTTTGAAGATAGTAGAAGTATTTGACGAGCCAGTACTTGAAGTAAAACTCAACCAGCAGATCACGTAGATATTACTAAACGAGGTGATAATTTTGAATCTTCATCTAATGTTGAACCTAGTTGTCCTTTAGAAAATGAAACTTATTTAGCTCACTTAGTTGATGTGCTTCAAAATAGTTTTAATTTATACATTTGTATTTTCATAATTATAAATTTATGTATAATTTTTCTAATTTTAAAATCGTTATCTGATTTAAATTATAATTTTGATTGGTTATCTAAGTATAAATATGGGAACAAAATTCGAATAAAATTAGTTAATATTTTGTCCTATTGACGAAAGAGTAATTTACTCTTTTTTTATATAGGTATGTTTATGATCTGGCTATTCTCAGCTTTTAATATTATGTTTATTAAATATGTATTGCTAGGACTCCAATCTTTATAAAATTATTTTTATTAAAATTACTGCTATTATCTTTAATTTTTAATTCTTTTTAGTATTTCTTTATAAAATATAACCATAAATGATTAAAATAATTTTCTGCTTTATCAAATTCTAATTATGGTATTTTAAATTAAGATTTTATAATAAAATATATTAAACCCTCAATTAATTCACTTTTTTAATTTTTTAAAACTGCACAAAGCGTAGGTGTAGCACGTAGCAAACATTATTAAGTATTTTACCTTCTGTTGCATTCAAAATATTCTTACATAATTTATACTTATATTTTTTTTACTTATATACCCGTCCTCCCTCCGGAGATAATTATATTATCTTATTATAAAAAAATTAACATTAATATTTTATTAAAAGAAATATAAAATAAGTAAATAAGCTTTTAGGATAATTTTTTAAGATTTAATTTTTTTATGGTTATTTTTCACCTTCTACTGAGTTATCATTCATGTAGTATATTTTTAATTAATAACTTGCCCATATTACATAATTTACAGAGTATTAAACCTTGCCTTAAATTTTTTATAATGTAACCTCTTCTTCAAGAATGAGGTATAGTTTTTCAAAAAAGATATAGGACTAGTAAAAACTTCTTGCAACATAAGGATTGCTAACGG